TCCCTCCCTCTCTCTCCCTGCCCTTTATCTGACCATGTTCCAAACCTCTACCATAATTCCTTCATCTTTACTAAGACCCCTACACATTTTCATCCCTGGGCCCCCCCTCTCCGGTGGGCCCGTGAGCCGACAAAGTGCCTTGGCTTAGTGCGCCACTTTAATATGGTCCTTGGCTGCTCTGTTGGGCCTATCTTCTTCGATATCTCTTTTGTCGGTTCACAAACCCGATCATTACCTTTCCATTTGGTTTACCGCGAGTTATTCGGTCCTTAACTCTTATCTACTGTTGGACATGAAAGAGGTGAAATCACACTCTTTCCCTTGCACTCACCCTGGGAGTGTCGATATGACATTTTGTGGATACGTGCTCTAACACTCCGCTCTATTTCTCAACTTCTATGTTTTCTCTCTTTCATCTTCTCATTGTTTTTTCTCTAGTTTAACCAAGTCTTAATGGCTGGAACTAAACTCATTGTTGTTGGGGAACGCCCGATGCTGAATCCTTTGGAAACTCTCATTATTGAATTGGTTCTATATTCTATCATGCTTCTCTTTCTCATCGTAATTTCGTAGCTGTAGTTTTTTGCCTTCTCATCCTCATCTTTCATTGCTCTTTTGTGGTTTTACAACTCATCAATTGCCCTGATGATTGATGTTATTTGTATGGACACATATAGTAAAATCTAGAACTGAAGAAATTCTCGGTGCATATTCCCAATTAGCAATCCCTGTACTTACTGTGATCCCCTCTTTAGACCATCACTGGTGCTTCGATATGCTTTTAATCGGTAAGATTCGTCTTTGCCTTATAAAAGCTTTTGTGCGAATGTAGTGCCATGAATTATTGCTGTTCACCGTGCGTAAGCTCTCAAGACACACCATTGCTAAACGTTTGTTTAGGAGTAGTTCTGCCTTTTCTTCCACACCGTAGACATCTCTGTGGTTTCAAGGTAACATTAGAAAAGTGGAATGTAAAATTAATGAGAAAGGATGAATTCTGATACATGAGGGTGGATAAGGATGAATCGTAAACCCCAACAACATAATCATAGTCATATTTCTAACATCACATTTTTTCGTGTTATTTCTTTTCTATTCCATTGATCAACTTGCATTCACTGTTTTTTTTTTCCGTATTCCCACATGTTTTTGTTTTACAGTCTATCATTTACCATCAACAAATCACTCAACGTTTAGGCCGTGAGCCTCCTCTTGGGGACCAACGATATCCACTTGTCTACCATTTTATTATTACTTGATACGATTCGGTACACGTGCTGAGTGTTAACAGCCATCTCTTGTAACGAAACATGTCCCTCCTACAGGTAAACTTAATAATTATTTTTGTTTATTAATCTACATTTTGTATAACCTAACATTTAATTTAACAGGTAAAAGTGCAAAGGAAGTTGCTCAGCTGTCGGTGCCTAGGGACGACATGACGACACTCGTCCATGTTACTATATGTTATCTCTCCTACCGGGACCACATGCTTGTGGTTCATGGCACAGTCTATGAGGCAGCCACTGTATTGCATGGTGTAGAGCTAGGAGAAGATTGAAAGTCCAAGGTCTTGGTGGATGATGAAGTTGGCGTAACAGATGTCATTGATCATGTGCCTACAAAGGATTTTTTCACTATGGCACAAGCATTTAAGTGCTTCGCCACCTGGCCTAGGCAATTGGATGGTGATGTATGACAATTAGTTGACTTTAAAGTTAACAAACTTCACTTACCCAAGTATATAAGTGAAGTTTGTTAACTTTAAAGTTTCATTTATCATTGTAGTATGACAATTAAGTATTACCATTTCAGGCGTCATTGGCAACTACTGTGAATCTCCATACCGGAGAACACTATTGTCTGGTTTTGCTCATTGCACAAGTCTCCTCCCAACCTTCTTAGACAAGTAGTAGATTGGTAAGAACCTCAATGTTTCAACTTTTTTTGTTATATAAATGTATGCTAAAGCAATTTTTGTTTTAATAGTTCTCTTGTTTCAACTTTTTTTGTTATATAATAGTATGAGTATTAGGATATAGTAAGTTCTAAGTTTATGCTTCTAAGTTGATTTATGCTTTGTACATTATTTTGTTTAACTTTGTACATTTAATTGAATTATTCTTCTAAGTTATTTATGATTAATTGAATTGATTATGTTTCTAAGAAGTTGATTTATGATTACATTATGAATTTTATGTTTTAACATAATTTTATTGAAAATATGTTTTTCTAACTGTTCTGGGTTTTATAAATATATGCAGGTTTGTTTCTTAAGTTGGGAATGTTGCAAAAACAGACTTGTTCTTAAAAAAAACAGGGGAATACACCTTGGTTATGACCATAACTGAGGCAGAAGTTCTCTATGGCAATCGGTTAAGGTCACAATCGTGCAAACAAGTCTAACGAAAAGCAAAAAAATACAAAATAAATAACACTTTTACCGCTCGATTCAAGTCCCCACTGAGGTAGTAGAGTCCGAGATACTGCCTCGGTTCGAAGGGAACCAAGGCAAAAACTCCTTTAAAAAAAATAAAAAAAAGGAAAATCTTACTGCTTCGGTTACCTTTGAACCGAGGCAAAATACTACCCCTTTTGCCTCGGTTAAGAACCGAGGCATAATACCTACCCCTTTTTGTCTCGACTGTATATGTTTCAGTTCAGGAACCGCTGCCTATAAACAAAAATAACCACTATCGTTTTCCTTAGCTGTACTAGTAAAACTCAATTACATTTTTCTAACCAGTAAAGCATACTCAATGTCTACAAACGATTTAAAACTTTTGTCAAATTGATTGATCATAGATTTAGATAACTTTGATATGTAATTGTTAATTTTAATAACTAAAATATGTTTTAATAGAAGTTAATGGTTTGTTGCAAACTTTAATCCATCAAAACATGATTTTAATATATTAAAATCTTTTTGATATACAGAAAGAACACGACTATTCAACTTGACATACTTAAGTGAAATTAGTAAATTAAAACAAAGTAATAAGCTATTAAAATGTTCTTTTCTTCAAATCCAACAACTGAAGAACATTTTAGCATATTAAAAATATTTTTAATCCATTAAAATATAACTTAACATTTCAAATAACATTTAACGAAAGATAGCTAATAAAAGAATCACTCAGATACATTTAAACCATTAAAGTACAATACAAGATCAACATTTTCAATAATTATATCATTATCATCACTATATCACTATAGCATATTGTGGTTGGAAGCATAAAATATTTAAACTTCACGCATCTGCCAAATAAGATACACACAAGACCTAGTCCTCTTGTGCAAATTACCGAGGCCTTTTATCTAACTTTATAACAAGTGTTATAGTTTCTTATGAGTATAATGCCATGTAAAACTACCTCTGTTAGTTTGAATCTCGAATAAGCAACCATCATCAAGAACTTGGGAAAAAATAACTATCCTTAAAAGCCCAGAAAAATGTAACTTCTTTGGTCTCCTTAGTACAAAGTTGGAAATTGCTTCATGCACTGCCTCACAACCCATCATTTTTGGGAAATTTGAAATGTTGATTTAGGAAATCCTTATTCGAACGTGTGGATGTGGTTTTCGATTGAAGCCTCAGATTCAGCCAGAACCTAAATCAAGCATGTTAACGGTAATGAGTGGATCCTGTAAGCCTTACAGTATTGCAGACACTTCTGAGGATCTCAAAACCTCTTGTTTTCAGTTATGCCATGCCAAAATCGTTGTGAGGGTGCTGAATGGGAGAACTGGTACGAGTTTAATGTCCAGCTAAAGAAGAAGAGGACTAAGTTGAGATTTAAAAACCCTATGAGATTATGTTTGACATTTTACATATTTGATAGGGTGCAGATTAAAATTTGAGGGGGTGAAGGAAGGAATTGCCTACAAAGTTTCATTAAATTATCCTCTGTAAGTGCCCAAAAGGACACAATTTTTAAGAATAAAGGTCTGCATGTGTTGTTTCCCAATTTCACAGATGTTAAAAGTAATAGATGAATAATTAAAATCTCTATTCACTATCACATAATTTCCAATAACATGTCCAACAAAGCTGTATTAAGATTCAGTGCATCTCAAACAATTCAACTTCACACCACAAGCTTTTTCGTGACCCACTCATATTTTCAAAATAAACTGATGTTTATACAATTAAAAAAGTTTTTAATATATTTTAAAACATTAAAATAATATTATATTTTCTTCAAATTATTATATTTCCACTTATTATATGGGTTGATCATGGATTATGACTTCTTTTTTCATTTAAGAGAATTTCCTTGCTTTTATTTTCTTCTCCTTTAGTTTTATATCTCATTTGCTTTTTTACCTTCAAAAGCGATTTTAAGAGACGGGGAAAGTTGCTAACTTTTATTCAATTATTTATTTTCTCCTTTTCCCAAATCCTCATCAATAATATTATCCTTTTCAACATTTATTGATGGACCCACATAATTCTCCATGTTCGTATGCTGAGTTATGGTTTCTTGTCTCTTGGAACCTTCTTTAGCAACTTCGGTTATTCATTGTTTCTGGTTTTTGATGTGGTCTCTCGAATAGTTTGGGACATATGAGTGTTAAAAATCAATGAAGAAAAAAAATACAAAAATTCATGTTTTAAGAGAACTTTATCCACATTCAGTTAACTTTTATTTCAAATTGAATATAAAGAAACCAGTTCAAAACATTTATTATATTTAAATATAATATTATATAGTTCACTGTTAAATTAGTAAGTTACAATATATGTATGCATATATATAAATACTTATTGAAAATTATTTTGTTGTCAATGAGAAATATCGTTAAGAGAGGTGGAAAGATTCCAATAAAAACGCAGGACATTGTTGAAGACTAATAAGCCCAAGTGGAACCCAAAATACTTATTAAAAACAATAATTTAGTAATTAGTGATTAATGATCTGAGAGTTTTGGCGGTTAGGGTTTAGTTCGGGAACATAAGAGAGATAGAGAGAGTAAAAAGGTTAAAAAAGCGCACACACACACACACACTACAGAACAAGGAGTAAAATAACGTTATTTGAAGCGGCAGGCACGGGTTTGGTTTGGGGTTTCTTTGTTTCGTTTCGTTTCGTTTCCTCACACATTCTCTCTTTTTCGCGATTTCACCCTTCGTTTATGCACCCATTGGTACGCTTCCCTCACTTCTTCTCTTTCTTTCCTTCTTTTACCTTCTTTTTCTCAATTCGCGTTTTGCACCTGCTATTCTTAGGTTTATCCTCCTCTTTCTCCTGAATTGAGGGTTTTCGTCTTCGGTTGCCCTAATCTCATCGCATTCTTCGCGAATCGGGCGGCTTTTTACCGATTTTTTTGAGGGTTTATGTGGGTTTTGCGTTCTCAGATTTGCTTGTTATGCCAATGTTTTGGGTGATGTTAAACTTTTAGTTTGTAGTTTGGGTTTCGGTGACCCGTTTCGGTTTAGGGTTACTGGGTGACGGCGATTAGAGTGATGGATCTCGAGTCTAGGGTTTGTTAACTGTGTTTTGGTTCATGGTATATAATGTAACAGTTGGAATAGTCTTTTTGGGTACTTGTATGTGTCCAATGTTCTAAAATGGGATTTTCTTTTAAATAGAACTTGTGGTGGTGTTCTTTAACGTTATGAACTATTGGGTATGTTTGAGTTTCCTACTTGCTTCGTTATAATGAACTTTGATTCTGAACATGACTTGTATTGGCAGTTCAAGAATGACTGGGTAATATTCACATTGGGGGATTTAATGGTTCATTAGCAAGAAAAATCTTGAGGTGAAATGGCTCCGATTTTTGTGGTCGGGTTTAATATTTTTTGAAAATTAATAATTTATCCAGGTCATTTTAGATTGGATAACTTTGTGGTGCAGTACATTCATAATAACTCTTTGTTACTCCCACCGAGCTAAGTTCCTTTTCATGTGTTCTGGGGGAGCCTGGATGAACGAAAGCCTTTCACCGAAAGAAGAGAGGCTTTCGGTGAAACCATCACCATGGCATGTAGGAATTGCTGTCTGAGGCTTTACTGCTCTTGGAAATATATGAAACAGCAGGTTAATGCTGTACGAATTTTGTTTATAATCATATTTTTTTGAACTTGATAATCATGATGCCATATAAAGTATTCAATTAAATTAACATTTGTCATCCAAAGAAGTACTCACCAAGCATTTCGGTTGTTTCCTTAAATTTGTTATGTATCTACTTCGTCTGCTTGCACTCAAGATCTATATGTGCTTCTTCTGGAGTTTACAGAAATTGTGAGGATTCTTCCGGACTCAGCTGAAGAATGGAACCGTGGGGTGCTCATCATCGAGTCATGTTCATTAGTCAGCACGAGGAGGATGGAACTCCTTCTGATACTTCTAAGGGAGAGGAATCAAATGATGAAGAAGAAAAAATCGTCAAAGTTGAACCTGCCTTTGTGCCAGAAATTAAGAAAAGGAAACGCCTTAGCCTTAGTCAGCTTAAAGAAGTGAAAGGAGAATCATGTGGGAAGCAAAGCAGTAGCAAGCTTAAAAAGAAGAAGAATGAAAGTAGAGATAGATGGTCAGCTGAGAGGTAAAGAAAATGTGATATTCACTTTTTTGTTATCTTCCGTATTTCTGTCTTATATAAATGTAATACCATGTAATGTAGGTATCAGTTGGCTGAGCAAAACATGTGGGAAGTATTAAAGTCTGAAGGGGCGACATTTGAAAACCCAATAACCCGACCTGCACTAAGATTAGCTGCTCGCAAACACATTGGTGATACTGGACTTTTAGACCACTTACTGAAGCACATTGACGGTAAAGTGGCGCCTGGAGGTACTGAGCGATTCCGAAGATGGTTCAACACCAATGGAATCATGGAGTATTGGTTAGAGAGTGCTGACTTGGACAAGGTGCGCCAGGAGGCTGGTGTACAGGACCCTTACTGGATACCACCATCTACATATAGGGCAGGCGGTGCACCCTCTCAGAAAATTGATTCTTCTGTTGAATTGAAACAGCTTAAAATAGAATTGGCGCAAATGAAGAAGTATTGGGCTTGGAAGCTGAATATCTAAATAATCTTGTATGGATGCTATTTTATTTATTTTAACGGTTTTACTTGTATTGCAGAGATATGCATGAGCTCATTTCCATGAAGGAAGAAAAAAGTGATATTAATACGATGGAGGTGAATGTTAAATATTTTATTAATCCGATGGTTTGCTGTCTCTTAATGTACTGTAATGTTTAGTGTTGAGTTGCCATGGCAGGAGACCTACAAAGATTTTGTTAAGTGGAAAGCTATGACTGACCATCGCCTTACTGAAATCATTAATTCTTTGAAGGGTTTGCAGGTATCGAGGAAGTATATTACCATATCTGTCATCCTTTTAAGATTTAATAGGTTTCATGTCATACAATGTTTTTCTTTCAGTTGATTGATTTCTTCACTTGAGTGATCTCTCTAGATCACGTAAGTGTTTTAGCCCTGTGAAAAGGGATGGTAGATAGAGCCTAAGAGGAAATTATGTAATGAGATCTCATGGTGAATAGTATGCATGATAATTTAGTTTTTAACGAAGCCCAATGTAATAAATCATGTAGTCGATCTCATCTAATGAGGTAAGGCTTTTGCTGTTTATGATGATGCTGAAGATGTGCTGGCTCACTTTAGTTGATATATTGACAGGGGAAATATGGTGAATTGATGATTTGGAAAACTAAAGTTGAGCAACAACTTGCAGAAATAACTAATAAATTGAATGATCTTCAAGCATCTAGGGAGTGCACCACTTTTAGTCCTCCTTCGGAAAGGTGGAAAGATTGGATAGAGAGCACTAACCTAGACAATATTCAGGAAGATGCATTTGCAACTTGGATTGGGAATCCAGAACTACTTAATGTCCCACCAGAGGTTATACCTGAAGATCTCAACACAGCCATACCAACACAGCCACCCAATGAGGAACTGACCAAGAAGAGGTAAGTCAATTTTATTAGTACCCTTCTCTTTCCACTCCTCTGAGGTGGAAGACCAAGGAGGGAAATTAGTACTTTTGTTCTAGTATTCATTTTTTTTCCTCAAAATAATAGCGATATGCTGGAACTGGAACCTGTTAGACTAGAAGATCAACCCAATGTGACCCCCGATTCTTCTACAACTGTTAATTCGAAGTCAGACCTTGACAACTCATTGATTATGTTTCAGGTGACGGTGACTGTGTACAAGCACTTGCAATAGTTTTAAAACTATTTACTTGCACAATGTTTTTTAAATATATGTGTTTCTCACAGGAAATGCTTATGGATTTATACAAATGGAAAGAAAAAATGGAACAGCAGCTGATGGAGGTGTCAAATACTGTATATGGTATGCTGGCAATGAAGTAGGCATCATTTCAAAGGATGGAGGCTAGGATAGGATTATAACCACCGTTTGGTTCATGTTTTTCTGTTACTCTTAAAACTGGTAGAGTTTAGATATTGTACAGCATTAACAATCTGATCCTGAAAATCTGTGCCAACCACTAAGTTCACAGAAGAGGTTGAATGTCGCCCTGCTGGCTGAGCTGCAAATTGTTGATATGTCTGACTGGCCTTTTACAGTATACTTGGTTATGACTTAAGGTAGGTCTTCAGTGGAAATGAAATTGGTTGTTCTCTGGTCGTATTGGGTAAGATTATGAGTTCCTTTAGTATTATAGATCTTTTAGGTAGGCTTTACCCGCATTTAACGTATTAGCTGGAACTATTTTGTTAGAGAACCTGTACTTATTTGGGAACAAATTGCAATATTAATTAATATATAAAATTTCTACAATATCCTTGTTAATTTTAAAGATATACTTGTTTTACTCTTGCTCGTCATGGAAAATGTAGTGGATGTCTTAAAGATAACAAAGAATCAACTTACTAATATCTTATGTCTAAAGAAAGAAAATTGTTTAAATCATTAAAAAATTATTCTTCGAAGTATAAATTTAAATAAAGTTATATTTATAAACTTTTTTTATGAATGTCCAAAGCATTTAAGAAAAAATATTGTTATTAGGTGTTTTGGGTATGATGTGTGGTATATTATAGGTTTAATAATTTTCTTATTGGGTTTTTTCAAATTCTTAATTGAGTTTTTAGAAGTGAAAAATTGAAATAATTAAATTTCTGCTATTAAATTAAATTAATGAAGTTAAATTTAAAATGATGTAGCATATTCAAATAGAAATTAGGATAGAGTGATCAAAATTTGGAGACTCGAGACCCAACAAATTGAAGAGCGAACAATCCCTCAAAATAATATGGTTGAGAATTTTAATAGCCATATCAATCTCACTCAACTTACACAACCCAAAGATCAAAGAATTATAAATATAAACATCCAAATCACCATACCAAAACCCTAGCCCAACTAGAGACGGTAATAGATATCACTTTATCTTACTACGGTTCTCTCATTCTACCCTTACACATAAACTTCTAGGAAAGAGGAGAATATTGATATCTAAACATGCAACAAGACGATTTAACAGTTAACACCAAATTACAACAAAAAGATTAACTGGTATGGACGATTCTGCACCTGACATGGCCTACCTCCTACTTGAAGCTCGAGGTCTATCACCCCTCATATATTGTGATTGAACTGCATAAGGTGATTGGGTACCAACTCTTCTAATTGAACGACAATCCCTAACCATGTGTCCCTCTTGACCACAGCTGAAACACTTCTTTATACCTCTCAATCGTGGACAAACACTCCTTAGATGCGTTCCACCATAGTTGAAGAACTGACACTACCCTGTTGAACTTTTCGAGGTGAAGAATTTCGACTAGATTCTTGAAGATGAGGCTTACAGTAAGGCTTTTTCCTTTCCTCCTAACCTACTCTGAACCCAGATGGTCCTCCCACTAATTGAATATGTTCTTGCTACTTCTCTACTTCACTCTCCATTTTCTCAAATACTTTTGGTTTCTCTACCATAAGAGGAAATTCCTTGATGCAAAGTGCAAAGATCATCAACTTAATATCTCCCCTTAAGTCATTCTCAAACTTCCTACATTATCATTCTTCATCCATACTCAAGGTGTGAAACCGAATCAAATGTTTAAATCTCTCAACATACTCCGATACTAACATACCTCTTTGAACTAACTGTAGGAGCTCAACCTCTTTAGCAAAGTTCATGCTATCTGGAAAATATTATGCATAAAACGTTTTCTTGAATATCTACCAAGTGATAGCCTCTCTACTTCTTTCTAAAAACATCTTAATATTATTCCACCAATGACTAGCTTCTCTAGAAAGCATGTACTCAGAAAAGGCCAATCTGTTGTGCACCTCTTAGCATCAAAAATTCTTTCCATATCTCTCATCCACTGATCTGCCTCATCACAACTCGTCTTACCATTAAACTTGATTGGACGGTGCTGTAGAAAACTCTCTAGACTCCACTCTTGAACTTGAGACAATCCAACTGTTGCACGAGTTTCACTCAACTGATGCATAGCCACCATATAATGACGTTGCGATGTTTTTGCTGATATTCTAACAGCCTCCAACTGTTGTAAAACCATTTTCTTATGTTGAACTAATGAAGCATTTTGTTGTTGCATTACTGCCACAAACGATTCCATCACCCTTACCATATTGGGTACCGTCGAATTCGTGGGTGAAGAAGAAGAAGAAGAAGAAGGCATGTGTGCCATACTCTGCCCACACAGATAAAAGCAATCAGTCTAACTCAAAGATTAACATACTAACCAAACTCAGCAAAGACCCCATAACCCTAACACCAAGACAAGAACATAACAAGAATCACTATAGAAACAAGACTCAGAACCACCATTCTTAGTAGTTTTTCCACATTCATAATTAAGAAAGGAAAACATCTCTTATATAGTCATGAGTGAGCACCCTTATTACTCTTATCAAGATGTTTTCTGTTCTCAATACTTCCAGTTAGATATACACACTTTACCATCTAGACTTGGAAAGCATGGTAACCCATACCATTTAGACTCAATTCTTCACAAGGAAGACACGAAAAACCCACAACCTGCAGGTCATCCTAAGGACGAATTGCTCTTATACCATTAATGTAACATCCCCTTTTTAATAGTAAAATTACTACTAAAATGAGTATTACATATATCATAATGGAACTACTATAATAAAACAAACCTATGAAAGACAAGTTCTACACCTGTAGAATCATCTGACTTCCCATCTGGTTCACCCTCACCTCTCGCTAGAGCAACTATAAAGAATGTCTCCCTATGCTCACACAATTAAGGTGATCATCGCAAAAGAGAAAAACATACACAAAGATAGACAACACAAAAGCAAGGGTAAGCTAGAGTATCAAAAGATTATACATTTAAAACAATGACAATACACATGCATATTATGAATCAACACAACACAGAAATTAGTCCCTTCCACTTGAAACCCTTTACTATCCGAATAGATGTATTGAGGTCGGATTCATGGGGAACTTGCACTCGTGTATGGTGGAGCAACCTTGCTCAGAAATAATAATAACCACATCCTCAACCACCACTAATAATGCTATACACCAAGGTTAATCCATCAAACATCTATGGCCCTAACTAGTGACCATAGACTAGGACATCCTGCTACTCTCCACGTCATAATCACCCATCTCTACATGAAATGGTGTTATTGAGAGTGTTAGGATCATTCCCCAATCCAGGAGCCCCTACTTCAATACATAACACAACATAACCAACCTAGGATATTCCTCCTTGGAATTCCTTTCTCACATGATACTTGAAATCCACACCTCACATTATTTCAACATCATTATCACATCTCTCATAACGGTTGATTTCACCGTTATTTAGAATTAAATTTTGATAATAAATTAACCCTTTTTGAATTAGAAACTTGCTTGTTCTCTTGTTTTTAGTTTATTTTGGTGAATAAGAGAGTTGAGGTTATACTTGAAGATTTTATCACTAAATTCCCTTGATTTTGTAAGAAACTGGGATGAATTGGAAGAGGAGTTAAATGTCAGAAAGGACAAAAATAACACCAGAAGAGAAGGTTGCTAAAGGTCGCAGGATGCTTGGGCGCCCTCCTCTAGGGCCCTCAGTGCAGGAGTCTCGCATTCACACCTGAGCGCCCTTTCAGGGACGTTGAGCGCCAGTCATCAAAAGTAACGTTTCACGCCTGGGCGCCCTTCATGGGGCGTTGAGCGGTGTCTATGTTGGCCCATGATCCAATTCAGTTGTATATAAAGACTTGGACGTCCTAGAGGAAGGATCTTTTGACAGAATTGACACAAATTCAGATTTTTCCAACTCTCTAGAGGCAAAAGTGGATGCAGAAGCTCTCCTCTTTGGTTTTTAGGGTTTACCTTTCATTCTCATTCCATTGTTCATCTAGTTTCTCCATGACAAGGGGGAACTAAATTCAATTTGTTGTTGGGGAATGATGTAACCTTGTGAACTCTCATGTATTTGAATTGATTCCAATTTATTTATGCTTCTTTCATTAATTGTTAGGGTTATTATTCTTTGCTCTATGCTTGTTATGTTTAACTCATTCATGACATGATCATTGGTTTTCGTGATATGGACACATACTGGGAAACCTAGATCTGGAGAATTGCTCCCAAAAGCAGTATAGCCTAGACATAGGGATATGAGTTTTGGTTATCTTAAGCTTCTAATCGTAATGCAAAATTAATTATTAGGGATACAAGACATTGTGATCTTGTAATTAAGGATAGGTTTTCTTTGCCAATACATCAAGTTTTAAGTAATTTAGAAAGTGATATTAACATTAATGAAGAAGATGAATTCATATATGCGTGAGAGTAAACTAGGTGAAATCTAAACTCCAACAACATATTCATCTCATATTTTCAATATCATCCATTCATTATAGTGTTTGTCCTCAATTGATCAAATTGCATTCATGTTTATTTTTATTGCATTTGCATTCAAAACCCCAAAAATTGTTCTTTAAAGTCTTAATTAGTTAAGTAATTACATGACTGTTTAGTGCCGTGAGTCTCTTGGGAAACGATACTTGATCTTACCAATTATTATTACTTGATACAATTTTCGGTACACTTGCCGACATCTTAACAATCTCATACATAATCATATTCATAACTTTATTTCCATACCACATTGCATACTATCACATTGAATTCCCACATATAACATCACTGATCATATAATCTCATAAATACTTATTCATCATTAACAACGAATCAAAACATAACTCAAAGTTATCAGGAAACAAGTATGGAAAGAACAAAACAAATCCTGACGTAGCCAATCATTCGACTAAGCTCGCTGGGCGACTAAGCTCGCTGGGCGACTGAGCTCGCTGGGCGACTGAGCTCGCTGGGCGACCATAGAGTCCTCTCGCTCAGCGACCTCACTCGTTGTGCAAATACAAATACATTGATCCAGATCCCCTATCCTTTCACTCAGTGACCCAGCTCGTTGTGCGAACACAAAGACAGTGGTCCAGACCCCCTAACCTCTCGCTTAACGATCCTGCTCATTGTGCGAACACAAAAACAGTGGTCCAGACCCCCTATTAAGACTTCAACAAGTGTACCGAATCATATCAAGTAATATAAAATGGTAAGACCAAGTATCGTATCCCAAAGGACTCATGACCTAAATAGTTATGTGATTTC